GCGGTTGGCACAGGATAGAGCAGGGTTTAGGGCTGTTGTACATAGGGTGGCTATGAGTTGCAAACAACTCGATGGCACATAACAACAACAACAACAAACAACATTCTTCATTATGCCTAGGAAGTTTTCTTCTAGTAATTCTTCTACCACTTTTTGGTGCCTTTACTTGCTTCTTTCTGCTCTGGGATTCCAGTGAGGCACATGTTATTTCTCTTGATGGTGTCCCACATTATTCTTAGGTTTTCTTCTGTTTTGTTGCCTTCTTTTTTTAATTGTACTTTCTGTTCTAGCATATTAGTGGTGAAAATTCTAACTTCTATTTCACTGATTCTGTGTTCCATCTCTTCATCTCTGTTTATGTGTCCTTCCATCATGTTACAGCATCTGAGACATTGGACCTGATATTTTGGATCGTGATTTCTTGTTTTTTCCAGAGCCTCTAATATCTCTTTTGTTTTATCTGTATTGTGTTGGATTGCTTTTTTAAAGCTCCTCCTGGTTTTTGCTTACAGTGTCCTGTAATTCAAATTTGTCTTTCACCCATCGAAAATGTTCCATCATTATTGTTTTAAATTCTGTGTCAGAAAATTCCATCAGACTTTCTGGCTTCAGGAAATCCATTGAGACTGTGTACCTATTGGCAGATGACATCTTGCCTAGTACTTGTGTAGGATGTAAGGTAACCTGCTCCTTTTGTGCCATTACTGTGGTAGTTTTTTGTGCCTTAGGCAATGATAGGTTCTTCATCTGAAGTCACTACTACAAAAGAGGGCAAGGCAATTATGCTCCCTCTATTTCTCTCTGAACTGAACCAAGGGAATTTTCCATTCAGGGCCTGTGAAAGTGGCATCTTCTGTCAGATAATTGTTGCAGGTAAATCACACCAAGTCGCTCCAAATTAAAGACATTTAGTTGACTGGATGTGAGGTGTTGTGAGGCTGAGTATGAGGTGGGTGCAGGCAGGGCAGGCACACAAACAGGCAAATGCCAGGTCCATGTACACACAGATGCTTGTTGGGTAGTCGCTCATGAGAACCTCACTCAGATTCCTGCTGTCTAGGAGGGCACGCATGGGGACTTAATGCAGCTTGCAGCTGTCTGGCTCTTTCCAGGTGGGCTGGTGCCCAGCAAGCTGGGCCGAAGCATGGTTCCTTTGATGAGTGTTTTAATTAGGAAGGGCTTTTGGCTTTTTCCAATGGCCTTTTATGCTTCAATTGATAGAATCATGTGGTTCTGGTATTTGACTTTGTGAATGTAATTAATCATATTACTTGTAACTTCTTAAGTATAATTAATTTTAATGAAAATTTACAGAGACTTAGGGTTTCCAGTCATTCACTGTTGCACTTTTCTCCCTGTCCCCCAATTCACTCTTCTCCTTGAAAAGTAAAAGAAAAACTCTTTCATTGTTATGCAATCCCTCCCCCAAGTACACTTCATTGCGCAGCCATCATTCTGGACTCCTGTCATGACAATAATACACAATCATATATCCCTCTTATTTTTTTTATTTCCATTCATTCATTGTTGCACTTTTCTCCCTGCCCAGCCCTCCCCCTCCAGTTAGCTCCTAACATTGAAAATTAAAAGAAAAACTCTGTCTTCAGTATACAATCCCCCTGTACCCCTCCCACCTCCCCAAGTACATTCCACTATGCAACTTTAATTCTGGACTCTTGTGATAACCATAATACCCTATCATATATCACTTTTAAATTGTTCTCTCCCTCATCTATTTCAATGCAGTATATATAGTTTAACAAGTTTTTCTCAGTTTTACCCCAACCCTGATGTCAGTCCCATTCTACAACAGTGGCATCATGCAGTACTTGTCCCTTTGTGACAGAGATATTTCACTCAGCATAATGTCCTCCAGGGTCACCCATTTTGAATAATATTGCGTGAGTTCCTTGTTTTTCAATGCAGTGCAGTATTCCATTGTGTGAATATACCACAGCTTCTCCGTTCATTTGTTAATGGGCACCTGGGTTGTTTCCAACTCCTTGCTATTGTTAGTTCATTTGTTAATGGGCACCTGGGTTGTTTCCAACTCCTTGCTATTGTTAACAAAGCTGTGATAAACAAGGGTGTGCATATATCTGCTTGGGTGTCACTTATGGTCTCTTTAGGGTATATTCCCAGTATTAGAATTGCTGGGTCAAATGGTATTTGCAACTTTTTGAGAAAGCACCACACCACTTTCCACAGTGGTTGCACTATTTTACACTTCCACCAACAGTGAGTAAGGGTTCTAGTTTCTCCACAACCTTGCCAGCATTTGTTGCTTGCTGTTCTGTTAGATTTTGGTATTCTGACAGGGGTGAGATGATATCTCATAGTTGTTTTGATTTGCATCTCTCTTAGAGCTAGGAATTTTGAACATTTCTTCATGTGCTTGTTGGCCATCTGAATTCCTTCTTTGGTGAAGTGCCTGTTCATATCCTGTGCCTATTTTCCGATTGGATTATTTATCTTTACCTTGTTGTGGTGTTCAAGTATTTTATAAATTCTAGATATAAGTCCCCTATCTCACATGTCATTCTCAAATACTGTTTCCCAGTCTGTGGCTTTCCTTTTTACCCTGTTAAACAAGTTTTTGGATGTGTGTGAGGATTTGATTTTTTTTTTTTTTTTTTAAAGAATCCAGCTTTGATCTTTATTCAAGAGACCAGACGGGTTGCCCGAGGATCCAGCTGCCAGCCCCAAGGCCCAGCGCTGCTGGACACTCATGACCCGGCCTGCCTTTACCCTGAGCTGCAGTCTTGGCCCCAAGATCCGGCTCACAATCCTCAAAGGTGCAGCCAGGAGGGAAGCCTGGGGATTGGACACTGCTACTGATTCATTAAAAAAAGGAAACAGGCCAAGGCTCTGAGTCCTGTGGGGTGGGCCCAGGCTGCCCTGACCCCTGTGACAGCGGGCTTCCAGAAGGTCAGCTCGCTGTCGGGGGGCAGAGGGTGGCCACGAGGAGGCTACTTCTTGGGTTTGGCAGAATTGCGGGGTGGGGTGATGGGCCGCCCCCCGAGATTCAGGCCACTCCGCGGGCTTGAGGATCTGGAAGGAGCACATGAGTGTCTCGTCCACACTCATCATGGCGCCTGCGTTGTCGAACTCACCGCAGTAAATGGGAGCTGAGGAAAGTGTTACCAGCTGCCGCTTGGCAAAGAACTCATAGCCATCTTCCACTACCTGGTGCGCCCGGCAGATGAGGTCCAGGTCATGCTTGTGCAGGAATTTGGCCACCACCTCAGCCCCGAAGGTAAAGGAGACTCCACGGTCATTCTTGCCCCAGCCCTGCACGTCCTTGTCGGGGTCGGACCAAAGCAGACCCTGGTCGGGCACGTCTGTGAGCCACATGATGCGCGGAATCTGCTCCACGGGCTGCAGGTCAGGGGACAGGCCTCCTGTGGCAGCAAAAGATCTTCTCGTCCATAATGGCCGCGATGGGCAGGCAGTTGAAGCAGTCGGTGAACATTTTCCACAGTTTGATGTTGTAGCGTCTCTTGCACTCATCATAGAAGCCACAGATACGGTTGATGCTGGCACACTTGTGGTTCCCATGGAGCAGAAAGAAGTTTTCTGGGTACTTTGTCTTGTAGGCCAGCAGCAGGCAGATAGTCTCCAGGGACAGCTTGCCCCGGTCCACGTAGTCTCCCAGGAAGAGGTAGTTGCTCTCTGGCGGGAAGCCACCGTACTTTGAACAGCCGCAGGAGGTCATAGTACTGGCCGTGGATGTCACCGCATATCTTGAGGGGTGCCTCAACTTCCAGAAGAATGGGCTGGCTCAGGAAGATCTCCTGGGACTGGAGGCACAAACCACGGATCTCGTTCTCGGTCAGCTGGACATTCTTCCCAGGACGCGAGCCTTGCACTTCTAGCAGGCGCCCGATGATAGAGTCTAAGTTGAGTTTCTCGGTGTCGGACATAGTGGCACCGCAGCTCCGGTCCTGGAGCTCCGGCTGGCTGCTGCCGCCTGCCCTCCCGCTGCCTCCTGGGGATTTGATTCTTAGAAGGTCCCATTCATCTATTTTATCTTCTCCTAGTTGTAGATTTTTTAGGATACTTGGAAGACATTTTATGTTGTGGATTAGGACTAATAGAGTTCTTCCAAAATGTAATGAAGTTTAATAGTCCTTGGTTTTAGTCCTAGGTCCATGATCCACCTTGAGTTGTTTTTTGTATGTGGAGTGAGGTGTGGATGTTGCTTGGGTCTTCAGCAGATATTTTTCCAATTTTGCTAACACCATTTGTTAAAAAGCGTATTTTTTCCCAAGTAACTGATTTCATCTCCCTGTCAAAATAGGTAAATGGGCTGTTTTCAGGGTTCTTAATTCTATTCCATTGATCTATGTGTCTGTCATTGTACCAGTATCATGCTGTCTTAACCACCATGGCACTGTAGTAGGATTTGAAATCAGAGAGTGAGATGCCTCCTACCTTTTTTCTCTTTTTAAGGGGTGTTTTACTGATTCAGGGCTCCTTTCCATTCCAAATGAAACTGGAGATTACCTTTTCTATCTCTTTGAAGAATGGGATTGTGTTGAATGTGTAAATTGCCTTTGATACTATTGCCTTTTTCACAATATTGAGTCTTCCTATCCATGAGCAAGGGATATTCTTCTACTTCTCCAGGTCTCTTTTTGTTTCTTGTAGTAATGTTTTGTAATTTTCTTTGAATAAATACTTTGTGTTTCTGGTTAGATTTACTCCCAAGTATTTAATCTTGTGATTACCTATTGTGAAGGGTATTGTTTTTCATAGTTCAGGCTCTGTATTCTCTTTGTCACTGTAGAGAATTCCAATTGATTTTTGTATGTTGATCTTGTATCCTGCCACTTTGCTAAATTGGTCAACTATGTCAAGTAGTTTCCTTGCTGAGTCTTTCGGGTGTTCTAAGTATACAATAATATCATCTGCATAGATAGACAATTTTACCTCCTCTTTGCCAATTTGCATACCTCTTATTTCCTTCTCTTGCCTTATTGCTATCACTAAGACTTCCAGTACAATATTGAATGAGACAGGTGAGAGTGGGCGCTCTTGCAAGTTCCTGTTCTTAACAGGAATGCCTTTAACCTCTCTCCGTTGAGAACAATGTTGGCTCTCGGGTTTGCATAAATAATTTTACTATGTTGAAGAAACTCCCCTCTAATCCTATTGTATTGAGTGTTTTAATCAGGAAAGGGTGTTGGATTTTGTCAAAGGCCTTTTCCACATCAATTGATAGGATCATGTGTTTCTTTTTCTTTGCTTTGTTAATGTGATGAATTACATCAATTGTTTTCCTTATGTTGAACCATCTTTGCATACCTATTGCAAATCCCACTTGGTCATGGTGAAATATTTCTTTGATGTATTGTTGAATTATACTGGCCAGTATTTTATTCAGGATTTTTGTATCTATGTTCATAAGAGATATTGGCCTATAGTTTTCTATTTTGGTGATGTCCTTTCCTGGCTTTGGGATCAAGGATATGTTTGCTTCATAGAATGAATCTGGGAGAATTCCATCTTTCTCTATTTCCTGAAATAGTTTATGTAGAACTGGTGACATTTCTTCTCTGAGTGTTTGATAAAATTCAATTGTAAAACCATCTGGTCCAGGGCTTTCTTTGGTCAGAAGTTGTTAGATTACATTTTTAATTTCTTCTTTTGTAATGGTTCTATTCAGATGTTCAATTTCAGTTTATGTTTGTTTAGGCAGGTTGTGCATTTCCTAGTATTTGTCCATTGTCTCTACATTTTCATGTGGAAACTATAGAGCAATATCATTAATTTCTCATGCAAGCAAGACTCTACTGAAGATTATGCAAAAAACAACTGGAACAGCACATCAGCAGAGAACTGCCAGAATTCCAGGCTGGGAATAGAAGGGGTCATAGTACTAGGGATATTGTAGCTGATTTTAGATGGATTTTAGCTGAAAGCAGGGAATACCAGAAGAATATTTATCTGTGTTTCATTGATTATGCAAAGGTGTTTGACTTGTGGATCATAACAAACTGTGGCTGACTCTGAGAAGAATGGGAATCCCAGAACACTTGATCGTTCTAATGTGAAACCTATACTTGGATCAAGAGGTAGTCATCAGAACAGAGCAGGGAAACAGTGCATGGTTCAAAATTGGGAAGGGTGTATGCCAGAGATGTGTCCTATCTCCATACCTTTTCAACCTATATGCAGAACAGATTATGCGGGAGGCTGGGCTCTCTGAGGAGAAATGTGGGGTCAAGATTGGTGGAACATCTATCAACAATCTGCATTAGGCAGATGACACAACCCTGCTTGATGAAACAGAGGAGGTCCTGAAATGCTTGCTCCAGAGCATCAAGGACTGCAGCCTTTAGTATGGATTGAGACTCAATGTCAAGAAGACAAAGATGCTCACCACTGGACCAATTGGCAGCATCAGGATGGATGGTTAAGAGATCGAGATTGTTAACAACTTTAGTCGTCTTGGCTCCACAGTCAACACTTTTGGCACCAGTAGCCAGGAAAACAAAACAAAACAAAACGTATTGTGATGGGAACATCTGCTGTTAGGGACCTCACCAGGGTACTGAAAAGCAATGGTGTCACTCTGGAGACTAAGGTGTGTCTGATAGAGGCGATGGTCTTTGCAATCACTTGTTAAGCTTCAGAGAGTTGGACAGTGACTAGGAAAGATAGAAGAAGAATTGATGCCTTTGAGCTGTGGTGCTGGAGAAGCGTATTGAATGTACCATGGACTGCCAAGAAAACAGATTCATCCTTGAGAGGATTAAATCAGGCTGTTCCTTGGAGGCAAGGATTCTGGGGCTTCGCCTGACATACTTAGGGCATCTTGAAAGGAGGGACAGGTCTTTGGAGAGGGACATCTGGCTTGGAATGGTGGAGGGACAGTGCAAGAGGGGAAGACCCTCTATGAGGTGGCTTGATTCAGTAACTGGGGTAATCAGGATGGGTGTGTCAGAGGCAGTGCGATTTGCAACGTATAGAGCAGGGTTTAGGGCTGTTGTACATAGGGTCATTATGAGTCGAAGTGACTCGACGGCACATAACAACAACAACAACAACAACAACATTTTTCATAATACTCTAATATTAGCTTTTTTCTTTTACTTGGTTCTATTGTGATTTTTCCTGATTCATCTCTTATTCGCATTATTTGTGTCTTCTCTTTCTTTTCTTTTGTGAGTTTTGCTAATGGTTTGTGGATTTTATTGACCTTTTCAAAGAACCAACTCCTAGTTTTGTTGATAGATTCAGCTGTTTTTCTGTTTTCTATTTCATTTTTTTCTGCTCTAATTTTTATAATTTCAGTTTTTTTAGAGGGTATTGGGTTTTCTTGCTGTTCTTTTTCAATTTGCTGAAGATGTTGAGTTAGAAACCCAATGGTCACTTTTTCTTGCTTTTTTATTTGTTTGCTTATTGGTATAAATTGACCTCTGATTATTGCTTTGGCTGTTTCCTAGGGGTTTTGGTAAGTGGTGTTTTCATTGTAATTTGTTTCAAGAAACTTTTTAATTTCATTTTTTATTTCTTGCAGTACCCAATGTTCAAGCAAAGAGTTGTTCTGCTTCCAAATGTATGGGAGTTTTTTTCTCCTTTATCTTCTTATTTTTAATTTCTAATTTTGTAGCATTATGGTCTGAAAAGTTGCTTTGTATTATTTCTAAGTTTCTGAATTTTTTGATGCTTGCCTTGTGGCCTAGAATATGATCTATCCTGTAGAATGTTCTATGCACTTTGGAGAAGAAGGTATACTGTGTTTTGGGGGGTGCATTAGCCTATAAATGTCTATGAGGTCTAGTTGGTTTATTGTGTGGTTTAATTCTTCAGTATGTTTGTTGAGTTTCATTCTGGTAGTTCTATCTTTTCTTGAGAGGCGTGTATTTAAGTCCCCAAGTATTATAGTAGTGTTGTCTATTTCCTTTCTCAGTTTTGTTAATGTTTATTTTTTGTATTTTGCAAGTCTTTCATTTGGTGAATAGATATTTATTATTTTTATGTCCTTTTGTTCTATTGACCCTTCCAGCATTATGTAGTGACCTTCCTTGTCCTTTGTGATGGTTTTTTACATTAACATTTATTTTATCAGAGATTAATATCGCTACTCCTGCTTTTTTCTGGTTGCCATTTGCTTGCTATATTTTCCCCCACCCTTTTATTTTTAGTCTGTCTTTATCTTCCTTTTTCAGGTGTGTCTCGTAGACAACCTATTGATGGATTTTGTTTTTTTATCGATTGGATACTCTTTTTTTCTTAAGTGGCGCACTTAAGCCATTAATATTCAGTGTGAATATTGAGAGGCAAATTTTTATTGCTATCATTGTGTTGAGTTCTTTTTGGTGTTGTTGCTAGTTGCTTTGGTCCGTGATGCTTTCTGTGCTATCTCTGTTAGAAGGACATCTCAGAGTCTTTCCTGAATGCTGGTCTTGTTTTTACAAACTCTCTTAGGTTCTGTTTTTCTGGGGACATCTTGTTCTCTCCTTCATATTTGAATGGATAGTTTTTCTGGGTACAGTATTCTTGGTTGACAGTTGTGTTTTCTGAGTGTTTGATATATGTCCTTCCACTCTCTTCTTGCTCTCATGGTTTCTTTTGAGAAATCGGCACTTAATCGTATCTGTTCTCCCTTGTAGGTTACTCTTTGTTTCTCCTTTGCTGCTTTTAGAATTCCCTCCTTATCTTTGGTTCTGGCAAATTTAACTATGATATGCCTTGATGTTTTTCTTTTGGGGTCTACTCTATATGGTGTTTGCTGAGCTTCTTATATATGTATTCTCTCATTCTTCATTATGCCTGGGACCTTTTCCTCTAGTAATTCTTGCACAACTTTTTCATTGCCTTTACTTGCTTCTTCCTATTCTGGGATTCCAATGATGTGCATGTTATTTCTCTTGATGGTGTTCCACATTATTCTTAGGTTTTCTTCTTTTTCCTTCCTTTTTGATTCCGCTTTTTACTCTAGTAAATCAGTGATGACAATTTTGTCTTCTTTTT